TGGCATGTCAGGATGAAGAATAAGATAAGAAGTGTCTCCTTCAGCAACTGGTTCCACAATCATAGGTAGGATGGTGGGATAAGGCATCATAAGATTTTGGGCACTGGCTCGTACCAATTTGAGATAAGGCTCAAGAGGGATGGAATTCTTGTGCCCCAGTGTCTTGCTATCAACTCTATATACCATGCCCCAAGCTCGCATGAACCTTTTACGGTAACCCTGAGCATCATTCTCGTAGTCGAAGATGATTCCTTGGATAAGTGTATCATGAGGACCATCCCTTCTCGCATACCCAAACTATCGCAGTTCCAAACAAGGATTTAAGTGATTCCTCCCCTAATGCCTAAGAGAGGCACATTATGGAATTCTCAGTATCGATCAATGATGGTAACATTCTCCGAGGATCAAGGACACTAATGGATACTTGAATGTGTAACAGTCATTAGCCTATGAGACCATCTTGAACCCTGTTTATTCTTCAAGATGGATCAGGGTAGGTGCGAAATAAACCACCTAGCCAAAAGAGGAGTGCAACACATAAGGGTCCCTCTTCTCTTTATAGTAGGTACCGGATTGCATGACAGGAAAACCTTAACCGCATTCACATCTATGAGTTGGTCCGGATTAGGAAACAGTACTAACCCATAGATGAGAAGGGCTAACACCTCTTCAAAATCTTATAGGTCTAGGGTATCCCAAAAATGATGAGCTTTCTCAAACAAGAACTTAGCCAAAAAAACCTTGACACCTCTCCTGGTTTCCCAATTTGCCACTACGTCAGCCCGTTGTAAGGACAGGGCTTTAGAAATATCTTTAGGTTTAGGGTCTCTTTCCATGCCATTGAAAGGAACCTTGTTAAGGATAGACACCCCCAGTAACAGAGAAAAATCCTCCATAGTAGGCACTAACTGGTGATCCGGAAAGGTGAAGTAGTGATGTAGTGGGTCAAAGATCTGAAAGAGTACTTTTAACATTTCTTCATCAGGATTTGAGGTGACCAAGCTGAGAAGTCGACCATGTCTTTCAGTGAAGGGAGAACTTTCAGGAACCCTTGATACCAATTCCTTAAGTTGAGGAGGTACCTTTACCAGACTGACTTGGATAGTGAATCTGCGGGCGAGGGCCATGTCCTACAAAACAAGACAAAATTAAACCCTAAGAATCCTTGAAATGGTTAGTATAATATGCTATGTTATGATGTCATGGTTATGCTCGGATATAGCAGATATAGCACACACAAGAAAATCACACAGAGACCTAAGGTTTAAGGCTTGCATGGATTTTAAGGTATACCCTCTTGAAGTTGGATTGGTTCAACATGTCCTAAATATAGTAATCGGGTTATAAGGGATCTCAATATCACCGATCTTTCCCCCGAATTTTGTTCCGATAGACAATTAACTTGCCACCAAATAAAATTCAAGAGTCAAAACTCAATGAGTGTAGCATCGAGTATCAATCGACTTTGGGTTTACACCAAAGACGGCTATCTCACTATGTCCTAAAAGCCAAGTTGGTCAATTAAGGTGCTAAGGTTAGTTGATGCTTTATGATACCACGCAGCGGCCCCGTATTCTCCTTGATTACTCAAGGGCTACCGGTACACACCAAAGTATTGCATCAACGTAGTTATTGTTTCAACCGTGTCGTTATACCTCGCACATCTCCCTCACAGTTTATTGCTACTTACCTAAAATAAATTCCCCGATCGGGGTTTAGGATCCAAACAACCCAAACAGATACCCTTAAAAGAAAATAAGATAAGACAAACCAAAGAAGCAATTAAGAATGACCTAAATCCTAAGGTGAACCCCACTTTATTATAAATCCCCAGCAGAGTCGCCAGTTCTGTGATACGGTGGCAGAACCGACTGTTAGACTGGTTTGCATTTTTTGTTCGCAAATGTCGCGGTAAGCAAGAGTCGCCACTGACTTTTATTTCATCCAACAAAGGAAAAGGGAAAAGAATAGAAAAAACCTTTTTCGAGATGTTTCTGAGTACGGGGGGTAGATTATAGAAAGGGAAGGTGTTAGCACCCTTTCTATTAGTGGTTTTCCACGGGCTCTTAGGTACTTGTTCATTCTTAAATTGCTTTTGTGCTTGTGCTTTTGAAAAGTTTTGAAATTTTCCTTAGTGCGGCGTTTCACTTTATGGTATCCCTTGTATCGGTCCTCAAGGGTGTGATAAAATATTTTTGAAAACTTTACTTGAAAAGCTTGTTTGAAAGTGTATGTGTAAAATTTTGTTGTTTTGAGCAAGTACCTAAAAGTTTCTACCTATTCGAAGAAGTCTGTTTGTTTTCTTATTTCCTTTAGACAGTGTTATCCTACTATTAAGGAGTAGGAAGCTCCATCGTTGGAGTTCAAAGGACAATTGTAAGGGACGAAAGGGATAATTACCATCACTAAAGCAATGGTTAGGAAACCTTAGTAATTACCTTAGAGTCCTAAAGATCTTTCCGAGGCAACATTCGAATGGGTCATTTTAGATCTTTCGGGATTATAGGGAAACCACTAAGACTCCCTATACTTCATGACGGTTTACCGAAGGTAACCTAATTGGGGCAAACCCTAAGAGTGAGCATGTGCATGTGTTTGATTTTCAGTTATTTATCGTTGCACAGTTAGGGTTTTCTACCGTTTTAAATTATGAATTTATCTTTCGCATACAACCCTATTATCAATCATCTAACAATTTATAATGACGGAAAGGAAAAGTGCGAGAAATTTAAACCTAGCTATTACAAGGCTTTGGGGAGGGGGATTACATAATCAAAAACCGAAGGAAATAGTAAAGGAAAATAGTAAACCTAAGTTAAACTATTACAAATTCGGAGCAATTACATTAATTAGAAAAATAATGAAATAAATGTGTGCGACAAAATTAAATACGGAACTAAAATCAAATTCAAAGATATTTAATTAGTAAATAGAGAAAAGTAGTTTTTTTTTGTTGGATTTTTGAGAGAAAATAATTAATTTTTCAAATCAACCTAATTTCTATTTAATTTTAATTATGAAAAATAATTTAAGTTACCCTAATTAATCTAATTAATTAATGCAATTAAATTTTTTATATATAAAAAAAACTAATTCTAATTTTTGTAACTTTTGTGATTTTTTGATTTAATTAAAAAATGATTTTTGTAACAATAATTAAAACAAATAATTAAAACAAATAATTAAAACAAATAAAAGAAATTTAAAAAAAAAAGAATTAAATATGGCCTGGTGAAATAGTAATCTAGGAGGTGTGAATTGGAATTTTCAGGCCCAGAATAGCTGACCCAAGGCTGGCGTGTGATCCAGTGAGGATCCCCTCTGGAGGTTCACCATGCTGCTTTTGCTGGATGTTTAGATCTGATCACTGGATGATCCAAAGCAGAAGATATTGAGGTGCACTTGAAACAACCGGCTGAAAATCATCAAAACAATGAAGTCGCCATCGAACGTCTTTTATCCCACATGTAGGGAAAGGTAAACATCGAGAAAACCTGATGAGGGAGAAGTCACGGTCTTGCGACCGAGAGATCGGGTAATGGAGTCTGTTACGCGAGGGGAAGGTATTAGCACCCCACACGCCCGTAGTACTCTATGGTATCCACTCTTGTTATCTATCTTATGGGTGTGTTGAATCTATGCTTACTGTCTACTATACTACTGAAAGGAATGCATGCAAAAGAAAAGAGAAAAGAATGTAGGGAAAATAAAATTGTGCTCGCTTGGGCCTTACCCCAATGCCTACGTATCCGTTTTAAGGAATCAGAGCTACCGTAGTTCGGCTCATATGTTTTTATTTGTTTGTGTTTTTTTATGTGGACGAAGTTAATTCTGCCTTCTGCTGCAGCTCGACCTTTGGAGACTTATGCGTTGGCACATAAGTAAATTAATCGTGTCCTTACCTGAAAAGGGTTTTTTAATGAAAGGTGCTCGAGCGCACAAAAGATTTGAATTTGTTTGTATTTTTGTTGTAGATGATGACTGATTGACCTCAAGAGAGAGATATTAGCCATTTTCCTACTTAGTCATGAAAGGAGTTTTTGAGAATTGAACCACACCTAAGCTTGAGATGAAGAACAATAAGATCGAGAAGAGACCCGCTTATCATTTCTCGTACTAAGCAAAAGCATGATTCTCATCAGTAGTTTTAAAGTGTTTTGAATTTCGAAAAGAAAAAAGAAGTTTTAGTTTTAGATGCGTATGCAAAAGGGAAAGAAAAGTCAAATGGGACTAGCTTACTTCTAAACCTAATGTTATCGTGCGTTAGTAGCCATAAGATTTAGGTTGAAGGGGAAATTTCTACCTGATGTTAGTATGCATGAATTTGAAAGCCTAATGTCTAATTTTAGTTCAATTAAATCGAAGATTAAATTTGAACCAAAATCTCCTAAGGAATCATGAAATAATATACGAACAAGTAAAATTAGGCAGCAAGTATCAAAATATTGCATACAATCCATAAAAATTGCAAGCGAAACACATGACATAAAAATGAGTAGAACTAATGATTAAAATTGAAAAGAAAAAAGTGAGAGAATTGAAAAGAAATCTCTTTTATTTACCAATATTGCCAAAGAAAATAAATCGCCAAAATTAATCGCAATCGAAATGAGTATGGGAAATAAGATCTCAGGAGGTGCGAACTAAATTCACTATGCTGCAAAAAATGCAATGACATTAGGCCCCATCAAAAATGGACACAATCAGCAAGAAAATAAAAATAATCATAGTCCAAGAATTGATTAGTTTGGCCCATGTTAATCATTCTTAATTTTATTATTAATCATATTATTATATTTATTTGTGGAATTAATAATAAAAAGAATGAAACATGTAATAGAAATGCTGGTTCAGAAAGAAAAAAAATAAAACAAAAAAACAATTAAAACTAAAAAATAAAATATAGGAAAGTTGAAAAAGGGGTTAGGGTTAAAAGTGAGAGGTGTTTTCTTCTTCTCCGTAGAACAGCGGCGGCGCTCACCTTCCTTGCGTTTTCTTCTTCATCCATCAACGGTGCTCCGATGCTGGCTTCCGATTCCATCCCCGCCTTCATCATTCTGATCGCCGTACTTTTCCAATCCCTTCACAAGTGACTGGAGTTCACCGATTATATCCGATAGTTTTCCGTTTTTGATGAGGACGGTACCGGTGTAACTAGCTCCGGCGATAAGTAGGATCTTGGAGATCCCGATTCCACTTTTTCCGATGGTCTCCGCCGCGAATCGGCTACACCACATACCGCCGCCGTTCATCCCTCCTTCATCTCATCTTCCGCGTTGTTCTCCTAAGGTGCGACTTGTTTTTGATTTGATAATCTCTTTTCTTTCTAATTCATCAATTCTGATTTCGGGAATTGTCATTATTGAAATTGATATTGAGATGGTGACGATGACGAACCTTATCGTTGTAGGTACACATGAGAAGATGAAGCTACAAGAGACGCGATGATGATGGTGTTGCAACAATAATAATCATGAAGGTTGAAGATGTGCAGAGATGATGAAATGGAGAAGAACCAAATGAAGACCGAAACAAGATTTTTTGCCAGATTGTTGAAGATGAAGATTGGTATGATTCTTTTTTTCTGTGTTGAAAATCGTATCTATCTATTCTGTCAATCTCCTCCTTTGGTTCGCGCTTATGCTGTGCTTCTGTGTTGTTGATTCCTATTGTTGTTATTATTTGCAGTAGTCGTTTCAGTCCTCTTAGGCAAAAGCACGGGGTTGATGTTAGGAAGAACACCGCCATGAGCAATGGTAACACCAGCAAGCAATTTCCCAAGCTCTTCATCATTCCTCACAACTAATAATAAATGTCTTGGACTAACTCTGTTCTTCTTGTTGTCACGTGCTGCATTTCCAGCCAACTCAAGTACCTCAGCAGCAAGATATTCAAGAACAGCGGCCAAGTAAACAGGAGCACTGGTACCAACACGCTGAGCATATCTACCTTTCTTCAAGAATCGACCAATTCTTCCGACTGGAAATTGAAGTCAGGCTTTGACAGATCTGGTGACTGACTTCTTCCTTGGTCCTCCTCCTTTCCTTCCTCCGGCCATTTTGCTGTTCGAATTCGCACACTAATTCTTGAAGCGAATTCGCTGTGTTGTAACAAAAAGTGAGGAGCGAAGAGTGATAAAGATGGTGAGATGATGCGTGGATGAATGTGGATGAAGGTTCTGAAACTGGAAAATTGGTGAGAATTGTGGAGTGAAGATGAAGATATGAAGGTTTGTACCGAGAAAGAGAGTGAAGGAATAGTTTCTGAGGATTTTTTTCTTGGTGAGTTTCTTTCTTAATATAAATAATTGTGTTTATCCCTCTTTTTGACTGTGGTCTTCCTTTTTTTATTTGTGATCTCCCCTTCTATATGCTGGAAGTTTTGTTATTTATAAGCCATGAGTTGGTTATGGATCAAAGGTGATGGTGAAAATTGGTTAGAGGTTGGTTAAGTTAGTTATGAAGAAAGTTAAGAAAAGTTGTTAGGTGTTATAACAGTTTTGGTTAGTTATGCTGTTAGAAGTTAGGGAATTGGTTATGGTATGGTTAAAAATTAGTTAGACTATTTTCAGTTACAGTTGGTGATTCTGTTAGTGGTTTTGTTAATAGTTACAGGGCTGTTTTGGAATTGATAATAACTGTTTCTTTTTGTTGTGTAAATGTTCAGTATTGCTTTGGATTGAAACAAAAGGCATAGACCATGGCAAGTTACAATACGCCGGATTGGTCATGAAGAAGGTAATGAAGATGGAAGCAACAAGGTTGCATTTCAAACACGACAAGGCCACACAAAAAGCGATGATGAGAATCAATATATGCACTTTTAAGTGTATTTCTTATTTTTTGTAGTATATTTTTGGATATTGTAAATGGTGTTGGGTATTTGGTTATGATATGGTTTTGACAGACTTTCTCCTTTTAAGATTTAAACCCTTTGCGCTTCTACCAGTAACATATGTGAAATCATGCTCAACTGATACATCTGACTTGATTGTTCTTACATTGCCTTTTCCATGCATTAGAGAAATATCTATTATACTAATGCATGCAACAAAAAGCACCCATATAATATTTGTTTGTCGAACAACAACTGCAAAGGCTCCCACCTTACCAATGCACTTAACCAGTAATTCTTTTCCAAACTTGCAAGATACATGGCCAGCACGGCAGTAACGGATGCAACATCTGTATAATAAAGAAAAGTGAAGAACCAATGAAGGGGATACAAGGATAGGACAATTGCGTGAAGCATTGCCTTTCTGTCACCGAGAGTTGGTTTCAAGTGAATAATGATGTCATATAGAATTATGTTGCATGTGATTGCTAAGACACCATTGATTGATCGAAGAATGGATGCAGAACACACATCCAAAAACGATGAAGCAGCTTCTATACAGTATAAGCAGGCCAGGAGGGGCGGTAATCATAGGGTCCCAACTTCCAAAATTTCCCTTACAGTAGTGCTGAGCTTGTGGTATATGAAATATCTCATCCATATATGGCTCAGTAACTACGCGATTGACCATTATGGTGATAGGAACAACCCATGAGGTGAGTGTTGCAACAAGAGCTAATTTACCCATCTCCCTCTTGAGAGTAATTCTTACCAACAAATTTCATGTCTTGATTTGTCGTTCCAAGTCAAACATATCTTGGAACCATGCACAAAACTTAGTTGATTAAGTGACGCATAAATGAATCCATATCTTCTCTTGTATGAAAACCATGTAAACATTCTTCCCACTTTGATCCATTCTTCGCACAAACCATAATTATTGCCTTTTAACCCAAAAATCTTGGATTGAATTAGTAAGATAGAATCATAAAATGCGATGCCACCATCCCTTACAATTCGAGCCTTAATTGATTAGAGAATGTGCTGATGACCTTGGCTTGGTGAATAAATGAATCATATCCATTTAATAGCAAACCTCTTGACATTAATCTTGATCAATCATAAGAAGGTTCAACATGACTCTCTTCCCTATGAAATCCTCAGATTAAAACTAAGCTTTAGAAACATCAAAGGAAAGAGGTTCAATTGGAATATTGATTCAATCATTAAGCGCCACAAATGAAACCTTAATACACTTGTCTCAGGATGGAAATTTGATGACGACAGAAGTCTGTAATGACCATGAATACACAACCCTAGCTTCAAACCATTGATCTTTGCAAAAAAAAACTCGCAAACCATTGATTGTTGAAGAAGTCAGTTGAATCCCCCTAAATGAAGACGAGGGCTTAAAAGTATAGAGAAACCCTAATTCCATCATATCACTGATTCCATGCCAAATTATATTGTTAGCGAATGTATGCAATGTTAAATGACCTAATGGAGATATGTACATGAGAAAAGTGCGACAATGCATAAACCAGATAAAAGTAAAAGGGTAGGACAAATTTGGGGTATTACAGCTGCCCCTATTTAATCGTCTTAAACCTGAAAGTACGATTGGCACATGCCTTTCGGAAGTTCGAGGTTGAAGATGATTAAATATGAATGCCAAAAAATTTGTCCTGAGGGAGAAAGAGTGTTTTATTTATTTATTTTTGTTATCTGCTGGGGAAAAGAAATTTGTTGTTTGTTTTTTTTTCAATGAAGAGACTGAGACTGGGCTTGTAACGTGGCTTGATGCCAATACAAGACAAATGGTTGGTGTGAAAAGACAGCGGACGAGGTCTACGGGCGACCTACGATCCGAGGGTGACACATGAGAGTGATTTGACAGAGAACCTAGCCGAAGGGCGATCTCAGATTCTAAGACAAAGTGTATGGAAAGAACCTATCCAAGAGGTGATCTCAGGTTCGAAGAAGATTTGAAGGAAGAACCTAGCCAAGAGGCGATCTCAGGTTCGACGATGATTTGTAGGAAGAACCTAGCCAAGAAGCGATCTCAGGTTCGACGATGATTTGAAGGAAGAACCTAGCCAATAGGCGATCTCAGGTTCGACGATGAAAACATGGGTTACGACATGATGATTGTTTTAGATAAGCGACACGGACGAGCATCAAGAAAGTTTAAACACGGACGAGTGTTTGAATCAATACGGACGAGTATTGAAAGAAGATACGGACGAGTATCCAAGGTTAAACATGGACGAGTGTTTGAATCAATACGGACGAGTATTGAAAGGAGATACAGGCAAGTATCAAAAGTATAAACACGGACGAGTGTTTGATTCAATACGGACGAGTATTGAAAGAAGATACGGACGAGTATCAAAAAGTTAAACACGAGCGAGTGTTTGATTCAATACAGACGAGTATTGAAAGAAGATACGGACGAGTATCAAAAGTATAAACACGGACGAGTGTTTGATTCAATACGGACGAGTATTGAAAGAAGATACGGACGAGCATCATAAAGTATAAACACGGACGAGTGTTTGATTCAATACGGACGAGTATTGAAAGAAGATACAGGCGAGTATCAAAAGTATAAACACGGACGAGTGTTTGATTCAATACGGACGAGTATTGAAAGAAGATACAAGTGAGTATCAAAGGTATAAACACGGACGAGTGTTTGAATCAATACGGACGAGTATTGAAAGAAGATACGGACGAGTATCAAAAAGTTAAACACGGACGAGTGTTTGAATCAATACGGACGAGTATTGAAAGAAGATACGGACGAGTATCAAAAAGTTAAACACGGACGAGTGTTTGAATAACTGACCCGGGTGGGTGTTTAGGAAACTTGACACATACGAGTGCTTAGGAATGGACACAGACGAGTGTTTAGGGGTGGACATGGATGAGCGTTTAGGGAACCGACTACCAGATAAGAACTGGGTTTAGAACGACAAAGTGTATTGGTTTTGTTTGGCATTGAAAAGGTGAAGGTCACCGACTGGGGACTTTGGGCATGATATCCTTTTGTAGGGACGTATTGTTGTCCTTGAATAATTCAGGTCTTTGATGTAAGGTGCCTGGTCTGGCTTATGCTTTGTATGCATGTTTGAATTTCTTTTGACGCAAAGATCCACTCTGATGGATCAGCTATGCGCTTTTGAGGATGCAATGTTATGTAATGATAACTATATGCAATGCGAAGAAATAAACTTCATGGGGATAAGAGAAGGCTTGCTGGGAGCCATTGTTCATCACTGGGGATGTCAATATATACCGGCGTTGGAAGCCTGTAGTACCAAAGATTGCTGGGGATACTGACAAAAATTTGCACTGGGGAGCCCATGATACCGAAGATTGTTGATGAATCCGCTGAAGATTGAATTGCTGACGAAGCGAGTCTTTAGGTACACTGCTGGATTCCGAATCGTACCATTGAAGGAAGAGATAATCTGACCAAACCTCCATACATCTTGAACTGTTGAGGGGGTGATAAAAGTGAATATGCCGAAGAATGGATACTGAACACCATGCGGATCCCTCCGGATACATGTCCCAAGTTTATGCACGCTGGGGAATTATCTCTTGAATCACTTGAGGAATAAGAGATGGGCATGGACACTTACGAGTGCCCCGGTTTAGCTCTGCGAATGCCCCGGTTTGGTTCTGCGAATGCCCCGGTTCAGCTATGTGAATGTCCCGGTTCAGCTATGCGAATGCCCCGGTTTAGTTCTGCGAATGCCCCTGTTTAGCTTTACTGGGGATGCTCTTGATTAATTTCACTGAGGATGCACTTGTGTGTGCTGAGTTAAAAGACGATGCTAGATTTCTGAATTCATTTGGGGAATCAGATTTGAAATTGTTTGCAGGAGATGAAGGTAGCTTCGTGTGCTGGCTAGGTCACGGTGACTGTTATGGTGCTTTTAGCTTGATCGTAGTCTCGTACAACATAATTGACTTGAGCAACTAAGTACGGATGAGGAATTCCCCTGTCTGGAGGGTCTCTGAGAAGATCTATGTTGAATAGGATACCAGAATATTTGTGCCACAATACGATATGAGGTGGCCTGCCCCAATGTCTTGAGCCACGAAACAAACTGTTCTTGATTACAACTTTCTTGGAGAGATTTGTCGAATCTCGACGTAACCTCCCCAGGTTGAATGAATTATGAATAAATCTCTCGATGTGATAGCCTCTGATTGATCGAGCTCAAAGAGATTTATCGACGCGATAGCCTCTGATTGACAGCTTTGAGGGAATGCCCCAGATTTGGATGAACTTGGAGAGATTTATCGACGTGATAGCCTCTAATTGACAGCTTTGAGGGAATGTCCCAGATTGATGGAATCTGCTAGCTTTATCCCTGAAGGGTACTCAAGCTGTGAAGCACCAAGATGGTTTCTCTTGACAGAATCTCTGGTTTAACATGCCTCTGGATTAGTCATTTCTCTTGTAGCAGCTGACTCTTGCTTCAACAGGGTATTTAGGCCTCTCTTCTGACAAGATTGAGCTCTTTACCGATTGTTCATTGTGTAAACTTACTTGATGTTGATCAGTTGTTTTGTATGCAGAAGAATGTTTATTATGAGAATGATAATTCTAATGCAACACATATGTAAGTCTTGAAGTTTGAATAACTTTGAATGAAATGGTGTCGCAACTCTGTTGTGAACGAGTCACTAGCTAGAGAGAAACATTTGCAAATTCTTTTTTATGAAAGATAATTCAAGCATATGATGCCAAAACATACCTCTTAGGAGTCAGTTAAACGCCATCTCGTTATGGCACGCTTTCGAATTGACCCATGCTTCAGTTAGGGCTTTGAAAGGGTTGTAACGTGGCCTGGTTCACGGTTTTTAGAAATAAGGATTTAAGGCTCAAAATTATTTGGTGCCCACCCATTCTCCATGATGTTCTCCATTCCTACGTTCAGTTGACCTGGTACAAGTATTCATCTCTCGAGAAGAGTTTGCGATGATTGCAGAACCACTGTGGTTTCTTGGACATGACAGTCACTAACTTCTTTTGCTTTTGGTGTTTGATCACACGACTTTGTTCTTTGATGAGGATTTTCATTGTTAATCCTTTTCTCGCCTTTTAGGCTTTTCAATTTCTTCTTGCTTTCCCTAATTTTTGCCTGGACAAATTCTTTTGAATTTTGATTTGGAAGTCCAGCGAGATGCCCCAATTTTTTCCTAAGTGACTTATTTTCAAGTTTCGACTTAGCGGGGATTTTTTGTTTCTTTCTTATTCGTATTTTTTCGTTTTGAACAAGTCGTTTGATCTTTGCGTTGTTTTTGATTTGTCGAAAGTGATCGTGACTGTCAGAGTCTTTAGTAGATGATGGATAGCCCTTATAGTACTGTCATTTGTTGACCTCCTGATGTGCGAGAGATACCCATTGGGATATAGTCAAATAGACGCACATTGTTGTTAGATGAGGGTTAACCATTGTGGTTTTGATTTTTTTTCAACCTTTTGATGGATAACCATTGTCGTATCCTTGGATGCACACTCTTGATGAGTTCTGAATGCTTGATCAGATTAGATGAACACTACCCGCCCCATGGTTGAAATGAGGGTTTTTTCTGAACAGAAAGGAAACTCCTACTTCGAAGGCTCAGAGGGGTTGACGAGGGTCTATCTCCCTTATATCTCCGGTGTTTAGGAATAGAAACAAGGCTTGTACATCGTCAGCAGGGTCCTACTCAAAAGCGTACCAACCA